CTCTTCCGTCGCGCCGCGCCCGCGCGCCCGCTTCTCCCCCCCCTTCCTCCCTCCCTTCCGCGGCGGCCCCGCGCCCTCCGAGGCGTCGCCGCCGCCGGCCCGCGGCGCGGCCGCCCCTCAGCGCGGCCGCCGTCCGCCCTCACCAGGGTCTCGAGCCTGGTAACCGCCGTCTCCATGTTGAATAGTTGACATTCCTCAGGCGGCGGCGGGGAGATCCCCACCCCCCGCGCCGCGGCACGGGAGAGTCGGCGGCGCCCATTGGCCAGCTGTCACTCGCCGCGCGCCTCCCATTGGCTCGCGGGGCGCGGGGCGCGCTCGCCATTGGCCCGCGGAGAATGTAAACCCGCTCCGAGGTACGGCCGAGCCCATTGGCCCGGAGTGGGCTCCGGCCGTGATTGGCCCGGGCGGGGCGCGCGGCGCTGGCGGGAAGCTCCGCGGGCCCCTCCGCTGCGGCCCTGAGGGGGCGGAGGCGCCGCCCCCCCTCCCCGGTTCTCTCCCGGTTGCGCCGGTAGCCCCGGCGAGGCCGCTCCTCTCCCGGTTCACCCCACCGGCCTTCCCCAGCCGAGCGCTGCCCGCAGCCGATTGGCGGCACCGAAGCCGCTCGTCCAATGGCCGCGCCGCTCGCCTCGGCGCGGCCGGGACGGGGCGGGGCAGCGCCGGCCTCTCTCCCGTGGAGCGCGGGTGCGCGTCGGTTCAACTGCCAATCAGCGCGCGGCTTACATGTGCCGCGTGGGGGGCCGGCAGAGAGCGGCGGTGCCATTGGCTGGGTGCGGAGCAGGGAGCGGTTTGAATCGGCGGCGGCGGCGGGCGCAGAGCGCGGCCGGGGGAACGGGGCGGCCCCGGGACATCCCCGGGACACCCTCACAGGTGTGTGCAGGTGTGTGTATGAGAGAGAGAGAGCGAGAGAGAGGAATCCCCGCCCTCTGTGCGGGGTCCCGGGTGAGCGGCGCTGGGGTGTCACGGACCCCCGGTGAGGGACCGGCCCGGGCCGCCCCCGGCATCCTTCCGTGGCTTCTTCGTGTCTTTTGTCACCGTTCTCCCCAAGCGTCGTTTTCCCCAAATTCAGTACTTGTCACGTCAGAATAACGAAAACTGAACATCCAGTTATATTTATTGTGCTTACGTATCGATAGTTGTAACGTTTCTATTTAGTTTATAATATTTCTAAATGTTTTCTTGTTTGTTTATATTTGTTTATAATATTATTTATAATGTACTTTTCATGCGTATTTATTTAATTCGTTCATATTTTTGTTATACTAGCTATTTATTAATGCTATCTCTCTATGATATAAATAGAAAAGGGGGGGAAGCCCCTATAAAATGGTGCTTTGTGTGCACAAACACATCCCCATGGATCCTATGAAATTAAAGATATATTTTCTCTCACTGGTCCACGATAATTTTACCAAGGCAGCTGTGATTAACCTCCGACTGGATTTCTGAGCTCCAGCCTATGTTATTTTCTTTGGTGGCAGCTCTGTCCTGATGTATAATTTGGTTTGTCTCTCTACATCCATTTTAAATTTGTCTTTCTCACCAGTAATGGCAAGGTATAAGAAATGCAAACGAAAACGAAGATACCGAGCAAAATTTCGACTGGAAAATAAGAGCAATGCTTCAGCCCCCCGGTCCTCAGTCTGTCCCTCTCCACGGTAAGAGGCTCAGCTTGAATTTTGCATTCTCACTCCATCCCTGGGTTTGCTGTTTGCTCCCAGTAGCTCATGGAAAAGAAGGAAAGATTTATGCCAAGTAGATGTGGCGCATCACGATATCTTTTGGTGCTATTCAGTGGAAGGTTGGACATGATCACCTTGGAGATTATTTCCTTAATGTTTTTATGATTAAATAAATCCATTTCCAACAGGATTTCCTCCCACCTTTATTGAAAAGTATCTTGGCCTTTTCAGGTTTCTGTGATCACATTTGCTCTGTTGTTACCTGCTGGTACCTGCTTGTAATTTCCACATGATTGGTCACAGTTAACTTTTTTAAAGGCTGAGATGATAAATAAAATTCTGGCCTCATTCTGAAATGTTCTGTTCCAGGTCACCAGTTCATCTCCCTCTGGACACATCGCCAGTCCCAAGGTGCTCCCGCTGGCCTTTAGCCTTGCCCAGCATAAGAAGTGTGGTCAAACCCTTGACAACAGCAGCATCATTTCTGTATTGGTGGTGCCAGAGCACGGTTGCACAGGTATATCCTTTCTTTAATATTGGATTTTTCTGTTCAAAACAGGGATTAACTCTGTTTATTGACTGGGAAATTTTTTATTGTACCAATTTCTTTTGTTCTATTAGTATCCCTCCTAAAAATCAGATTGATCTTTGGAAACATCTGAAGACAGTCAACACACAAATACGCATTATCTGCTTTCTTTTTATGCTTAGAGCTTTCAGGTGGTTAAAGACACCATATTTCCATCACAAGTCTACTTAAGGGAACTAAATATGCTCAGGGAGAAGCTGGAGAAGTTGGAAAGTGAATTTTCCAAGCTACAGGAAGAACTCCAGGTCAGTCTCAGTCAAGCTGGGGCAGGGTAACATTTGCCTGTGTGAGAATAAGGAACTGTGTTCAATGCAGATCCACTGAGATCTGAACAGCTCCTCAAGGGCATTCTCTGCACTCAGAGTTGCAGAACTGCTGCTACCTCACACCAGGAGGGACCTCTTTATATCTTTGTAGCTCAGTCTTAGCCAGCACCTTTGTACTCTAAAATCCCACCTAACTTTTGCCAGTGGATTTAATGTTCTATTTATTTATGTCATTTTCAGATGAACAGAGTGGCAGCTTTGTCTTCAGAAAGTTCTCTTTGCCAGAGGTGTCATAAGCCAGTCCTGGCTGCTCTTGTGGGGACACAGATGGATCCTCCACCATCACTATCCGTGCCTGTGTCCATCCCCCCTCCTCCTCCTCTTCCTCCTCCTCCTCCACCACCGCCGCTGCCTCCACCAAAACTGCCTCCAGCACCTCTCCTCCTCCAACGGGGCACAGCCTCTAAACTGGTAGGGAATCAGAAGGTTCCTCTATTTTTGATTTCATGCCTGAGTTCTTTACAGACCTGGATTCATCAGCATGTCACTCTGTGAGTGCTCAGTCACTTTCCTCATTTCCCTTCCAAACCCCTTTGCTTTCAGGCACCACCAGTGAAAAAGGATGGGCCCGTGCACATCACCCTCAAAGACCTCCTGAATGTTAAACTGAAGAAGACAAACAGCAACCTGAGAGTGGACAAGGTAAACTGGAGGATGAATAGGTGGTGGTGAATCAAGGGAAAATCCACCCTGGAACTGCTGTATTTCCTGCTTTTTTTACAATAAATTGATTCTCATCCAAACACCCAGTGATCAGTTTCAAGTGACCATTCTAATTCTGCACCTGGGTTTTGGAAGGGGAGAAATAAAGTCACAAACTCCAATCTCACCTAGCCTTCAGAACAACTCTAATTTTACATTAAGGCCATGGAACTTTCATGTAGCATTGTGTATTATCAGTAGATTTTTGGACTTCATTTTGCCCAGCTGGGCCTTTGTTTGTAGAAAAAAAACTCCTTGTTTAGATTCTTTTTTGTTTTTTCCTAAATCTATTTTTATCTGAGACACATTCAAATCTTAATAATTCAAAAAAAAGCGTAAGAGCCATAAACCACAAAAATCTTTGAGTGTTAATATTAAATGGATTTCAGGGTAGTAAGATCTTCTGAGGTTTTATTTGGGGTAACATTTCTTTCCTTGCTGTAGGAACAATCACCAGTGAAGCCACGAAGGGCATTAATTACAGTCACAGATCTACAGAGTGTTAGTCTGAAACCTAAATCCAAGCCATCACCTCATGCTACAAAATCTTCAATGTAAGATGCTTTCTACCTTGATTAGATATTAGATTTTTCTGTTTAAAACAGTAATTAATGGTTTTTACTGTACCAATTTCTTTTGTTCTCTTAGTACCTCCCCTAAAAATCAGATTGATCTTCGGAAACACCTGAAGAAAGTCGATATACTAAGGTCTGTTCTTTCTACTCTCTTGAATTCTGTTTTTTTTTTTAATCTAGAAAAAATAGAGAACCAGTCAAACTAATCATAATTGTCCTTTCAGAAGTCCTGGTGGCACTCCTTTAAATAGTAAAGAGAACACTGAATGTGGCTCTGGGCTGACACCAATAATGACACGGGCACTACGGCGCAAATTTCAGGCAAGTCACTCTGTCCCCCCTCTTGGAATCATAAGGTGGCTTTAAAATCCACAGAATTCCCTACTGATTTGAGGGCACTGCAGAATGGACATTGCATCACAGGTTATTTGACAATCCCAAGAGGAAGAATTGATTTTTTGGTGGTCAATCAGGTGCCTCAATGCAACTTTGAATGTCACAGTTCCACTTTGCAGAAGAACAAAATGTGAGGGTTAATAGCATCTTTTATTTTACTGATTTGTTGTGTCTGTTTTAAGGTGTCAGCTAAGAATTGCACTGTTTTATCTCAGTGATAACGAGTTCAGACATCCAAGTTCTGACCCTTCCCTTCTTTTGACAGATGGCTCCCCCAAAGAGTCCCTCGCCTGCACGGTTGAGTGCTGCAAACAGCTTTGATGAAAAGTAAAAAGGAAAGTAGGTTTATGGAACAAATTATTTTCCATTTGTGGTCAGGAAGCTGCTTGAATCCCATTTTTATCACACTCAGGCACATGTATGTTTAAGTAAATGTAGTGCACAGGAAAATGGGGCATTATGAAACCCTGTAAAGCAGACTGTGCTTTTTATCTGTCTCTAATGTCTCTCAGTTTGGTTGCATCTTCATCTGTAACGTAAAAAAAATAGGAAATTTCCCAAGTCTTTTGACACTTGGATGCTGCTGAAGCAGGGACTATTATATTCCTAGTACTGGTGCTGCTTATCATACAAATATGTGTGTGTTTGCTGAAATTCAGTATTTTTGTATCTTTTTTTAACAAAAAATATCTTGACGGTGTTTGTACAGTTTCAAAGAAAAGCAACAGTTTAATGCACTAATGTTATTAAAGTGGAAAGCTGCAAGCTTCAACAAACAGTTTGGCTACAAATGTATGAGGCCCTTACACTGTGTATCATTGATGGCTGGTGTCTGATCACTATTAAAAGGCTGTGCTGCTTAAAGGCAATGACCTCAAAGCCTCCTTCCGAGTCCAGTTCACGGGCTGGGCAGAGGTTGTGCGTGTACGCGGCTCAGCTCGTGGC